AGAGACGAAACGTTTCTACATTTTTTGTTGTTTTGCTTTGTTTTGGGTTTTTTTGAATGTCCAGAGGACCAGATTTAACTTTTTTAGATTATACTAAACTATTTCTCCAAAACTGAGTTTGTCCAAAGTTCTATCTATAACAAGATATTGGTTGTTCATTACATTTCCACAGAATCCCACTTTAAAAAAAACAACTAAATATTAGCTTTAAGATATATTAATGTGAACATGAGCCTTATCTGAATGACCGACTGCATTATTACTGATTCATATGCATATTAAGAGGTATATACACATATTCTGTGCCTGTATTTTTACATTGAATTAAGGACCTTATTATGTTTAAATTTGACCCATAGTCTAGTAAATAGCATAAACTTGGAATACTGAGCTTTTGTATGTGATTTTATGTCGAAATTGTTTCTCACCTGCTGAAGGAGTAACACTGATGACTTCCACCCCTGCTGGAAGAGCCATCTCTTGGCTACACAACCTTTGTGTTGTTAGGCTAAGGCGGCAGGTGCTCTGCAGGTTGGAAGTCAATGGTTTGTTCTTCGGAGTTAATGGAGAATTGAGTGTGTCAAAGATAAACTGAGAGCTGATCACAGGAGAAAACGGGTCGATATCCATTTTTGATGTACCAGTAGTTTCCTCTGGAGGGTGCAAAGACAAAAGAAAATACTTTTAAATAAAATCTTAAACATAAAAATTAATCTGTACCTTATATGGCCATTAATTCTAACTAATAATTGCATAAATTTTTAGAAAGGTACAATTTCAGGCATAAAATAACCTGATACACAAAGTACCCACCAACAGTGACAGGGCAAGCAGCAATATGGAGATGCCACATATGGAGGAGTGAGCGACCTGTTGGGGTTAATTCTACCACCACAAGACAAAAACGTCCTGAAAAGGCTGGTTTACTGGATGCTGCAAAAAAATAACCAGAGATGGAAGATTGCAAACAGACTGTGCCACTTGTAGAGTGCAGTTACTGCCTTCAAATCTTTAAAAAAAAAAAGCCTAGATAAATGTTTTGTTTTAATTACAAGGAGAGTCGGGGGTTTCCTGAGTGGCTTTATTTCCCACACTGCCAAGAATCAGGTCCTCTTCAAAGACATGCAGGAGTTGCGTCGCCTTCCCCTTCTGTAGAAAAAACAACAAAAAACAGCAGCAGGTGTTAACTTAAATCAAATGCAGATTGATTTTGTTTTAATCTTTTGTGGGGTGTACAGCATATACTGACACAGAAAAAAAACTGTTAATATTGCATATACACTAACTGCAAGAGGGGATGAGTGAAGGTTTGTTCTGTTTTTATTTTTCCACAGTTGATCGTTCACAGAGATTCACGTTTACTACAGAATGCTGCACATTAAGAATGATCTAGAACAGTGGTTCCCAACCTTGGTCATCGAGGAACCCAATCCTGCATGTTTTAGTTGTTTCCTTGCTTGATTTGAATGAATAGGTGCTTAATAGGCTTTGGCACAACTTCAGGAAGTAATAAAATCATTGAATCAGGTGTGTTGGAGCAGGAAAAGAACTAAAACATGCAGTAAGGCATTCCTCAAGGACCATGGTTGGGAACCACTGGTCTAGAATGCAGTTAAATGTTTCAAAATATAAACCTTTTTATCACTCTATTAGACTTTTACATATACTATTAGACTACCGTAGCTATTAAGATAATGCGATAAGGGTTAAAAAAAAGAGTTTGGCGCACAAATTGAACAGTTTCATGTATACTTACAAAGTCAGTAATGGGATCCAGCTCTATGATACAGCCTGGTTTCGCTGTGGACTGCTGACTGACAATGTTGAACACCTCCTCTACATATTTCTAAAGAGAAACAAATAAATATATTACAATACAGCAGCAGAGAAAAGTGTCTAAAAATGGAAAGGTCGGCAGTTCAATCATTAGCACTTCTTATTAAGCGTAACTAAAGGAAAATACTAAAAATGTTTTTTTTCCTGATGGAGGCAAGCAAGCAGCTCAGTTTTCATTGTGTATGTTCAGATAAAACAAACACACTCATGTGTGTCAAACCAAGCTCATAGTTGAGCTGATTTATCACATATTGTTTACAATAAAGTATAAGTCATGTATTCGAGACAAAATTTTCCAAGAAGTGCTTTCAAAGATATGTATATTGTGTTAAATGGTGAACTTGGTTTCAGTGCACAGCAACTATAACATTTGTTGGTCTGCATCACCAAATGGATCACTCACAGACATCTCAGGATTGGAGAGCTCGCTCAGGAGTTTCTTAGCCTCAATAACAGCCTGATAGAGTCTGAGCGACTTGCCATCGCTAGCCACAAAGCACGCACTCGGGGAGTTACAGTACACACCTAAAAGGTAAATACAGAAAACAGATCCAGTACATCAAAAACAGTAAACTAAAAAATTCTCCAATTATTAAAGATCATGACCAAAAAGTCCCACATAGACATTTTATCCGTTATGTTTGGAAATTTAAGTATTTGTGATTAAAATTTTGTGAAATTAGCTGCTTTCAAATTAATTGTGAAATTTAAATTAAGGGTATAATGGACTTAAAAACAGATCTGAAAATAATACATTTGGATTTTGTTTACAAAGTCTAGTCGTTTTTATAAAGTTGATGATTAAGATAACAATAAATATATTTTCCTACTAATAAACCAAAAAAGAAAATGATTGAAAAAATATAAAATTCCATAATGAGTTTGGGCGACACGGTGGCTCAGTTGGTAGAGTTGTTGACTCTCAGCAAGAAGGTGGCCAGTTCAAATCCCGACCAGGGGCCTTTCTGGGTGGAGTTTGCATGTTCTCTCCGTGCATGCGTGGGTTTTCTCCGGGAACTCCAGTTTCCTCCCACAGACCAAAAACATGTTAACATGCATGTTAGGCTGATTGGTAACTCTAAATTGTCCCCATGTGTGAGTGAGAGAGTGAATGGTTGTTTGTCTCGTTTGTCTCCATATGTCCCTGTGATGGACTGGAGACTTGTCCAGGGTGTCCCCTGCCTCTCACACAGTGATGGCTGGATATGGGCACCGATGACCCATGTGACCCCGAAAGAAAGAAGCGTGTAAAGATAATGGATGGATGGATATATTGTGTTCTATTATTGTTACTCATAACGCAGATAAATGTCCAGTGATCTTAAAACAGTAAAACGATATTTTTTACTCACCTAAACAGCTGCTAGGAATGAGTGTTGGCAGCCAGGCTACATTTGCAAACGCTGATGCATGAAGTGAATTTATCCTAGCGAGTTCTGAGACCCCGCCTGACAAAGACAGTGGACCAACAGGGTCTACTCGCCATAAAATTAGCTCACTGTAGATGGCATTGGGATCTTGAGAAACCCTGCCCAGAGACACTCGGGAGGGCCGTGACCCATACGGCAGAGACGTGGACCGGGAGTAGGCCTGTGGAGGAGTCCGGATGCCGTCTGCCTCGGGTGTCCTCAAGGCATTGTGATGCGAGGTGGTGAGGAGGAGAGGAAGTAAGGAGTGACAGGCCAAGTCATTGAGGTGGAAACGGTGACCACAGTAGCGTGATTTGTGGGAAACACTGAGCACAGTGGAAAAAGCAGAGTCCTCTGCAAAACTGACTGCCCACTGATTCAGAGAGCCATCATCATGTTTGGATATCATAAGGACGTTAGGGGTAAAAATGCTTAGCCGAAGACTGCTACTGGGTGCAACTTTTCCTTGACTTCCATAGCTTATTAGAGTAGATTTGGTTCGAGACAATGAGGTCCCAGGCGGCCGCTGTCTATCGTGTTGGATGGCTAAATCCACGTTCTTGTTGCAAGCATACATAACCACACTGTGGCTCAGGGAGATGGCATCCCCTGTAGGGAATGCTACAGGGATACGGGACACAAATGACACCTGAAAAAACAAACAAACAAACAGACATCACTATTATGCAATATGTACAAATTAAAACTTCAAGCCCAAAGAATAAATGTTTAAATAAAGTTATTCAATGTCCAAAGATGTCATGTGAATATTTCAGCTGTGGAAATAACACTTTTATAAAACAAAGCTTGAAATAAAGAGCTGAAATTTTTCTCATCTCAACTGAAAAGGCTCGTTACTAAATTAAACAAAAACCAAGTATCACTGACAGGAATGAAGAATGAAGAGAGAGTCTTTTCTTTCTGTTACACGAATGTAAAAATAAAACAAAAATAAAATAAGCTATATTCAAAAATAACTTTATTTTTCTAAAACTAAGCTATTTTCGGTTTCAACCAATTTAAACAGCCTGGCCTAATTATTCCAATTAGGGATGCACAATATTGGATTTTTGGCCAATATCCAATATGTTAAAACTTATTTGGCCGATAACCGATACCAATATTTTTTCCCCTAGACCTACTTACAGAGACTACATAGCTTTCTTTGCTGTGGAATTAAAATACATTATTCTGCACGGTCTTAGCCAGTTTGGCTTGCTCCCAAATGCAGATGCCAAAAAGGGGCTAAAAACGATGCAACACTTCAACTTGGATTATTGGCCGATGCAGATACCATGCCGATAATATCGTGCATCCCTAATTCTAATGTTAACAAATGAGTCTTTCAGATGCCTTAATTAAACCTAATCAATTATTATATCTTAACTACAAAGAAAAGGCACCTGCATTGAAATAAACAGCATATATTTGTAAAAACTAATAAATAAACAGAAATTGCATTAACAGTGAAGTACCTGAGCTTGCCTGAACATGCCTGGTTGAAATTCATCTAACCAGTCAACATGCCAGACTAACAGAGAGCCATCAATGGGATGTATACTGAACAGCATGTCAGCTGCTTTATTCCACTCTTCTATCAAAACGTCCACCTGATGCTCCACAGCTGCTACAGGAAGCCCATCATCCCCATGGAGGTCAACTGGCCTGCTGTCTTCGTCATCTGAGTTTTCTTCATCTTCAAGCTCTACAAAAACAATGCAAACCAAAGTGTAACATGTCCAACGTTCGACAGGAATACACTGAATATTAGCAGAAGCGAATTAAGAGTTAAAGCTTGATGATAAAAAACATTTGTCTGTACCTTCATTGAAGCATTCGTTCCTTTGTTCTAAACTGCCCCTGAGCTGCTCTAAAAAGACCTCCATGGCTAAAGTGAACTGAAGCTCTTTGTTGTTGAGCCAATGGACCGTAAACAGACCTCCAGGTTCATCATCATCCACAGTGTTAAGAGAAGAGATGGAGGGCAGTAAAGGAATGTCTGTGCAAAGAGAACATTAAAGTGAAACATATTTCAAAGAATAGTAAATTTGAAAAAAATCTACTGATACACAAAATAAAACAGGAATTCAGGGCAAAAAAACCCCCAAAAAACGGTACTTTAACTATAATGATGGCATGTAGTATTCTACTGTTAAAGCATTTAAGCATACAAATACACCACCACAAGATGTCAAGCCTCGAGCTTGAAAAAAAATCTACAGGAGTTTGTACAAATTCAGGTCAAATTAAGCTGCCCCACAAAAAAAACAGGCAAGAGCAAAAACAAAATGTTTACAGCTACTGAGAGCAGCCCCGAGCACAAAAGCTCCCTGTGACATTACATAAACAGCCTTCAGCAATCTTTAAAATTAATTATACTTTCTGTGATAAGAAACACAAGTGAAACACTCTGACCCCCAACTGATTTTATTCAGTCTGAAAAATGTTGATATGCAGTATGTGTTCCCAATTTTTATTTTTTTATTTTTAGAGAAATCTTGTCTGCTGAAGTGAATAAACACATATACCGGTATGTTTGAGTCTGACCTGTGGCAGGGTTGATGCTGGCAGCGATGTGGAAGTGGCAGAGAGCATTAGCGTTGGGCGGTCCTCTGTTGCCTCTCTTGTGGTTATGGTGTTGGCTCTGATGGTGAAGCAGGCAGCTGGTCATTGACGGCTGGGGAACGTCTCGATTCAAGGAGGAATGCCATGATTCTTGAAAACTGAACTGTTGACAGAAAAAAATATGTAATTTAAATTACTTGGTCACAAAATTTTAACAACCTAAATTTCAGTGAACAGCAACTGCAGATGCAACAAAGTTAAATAATCAATGTGTAACCTAACAACACAATTCCATCTGCTCTCTTTACTCAAGGTGTGCACTTCTGTTTTGGTTAACTGATGGTTTTTTTTTTGGAATGGGAACTAAATGCTCCTGATAGTTTACCAAAATTTAAATTTAGTAGCAAAGTCTTGCAATAAGAATCCATGATATTTGTGAGTACATTTACAGAGCATGAATGTGAAATACAACTCTGTATGCAAAAGAGAAAAAAAAAACTGTCCATCTAAATATATATTTTAGACTGTGATGGGATATTCTCAAATAGCATATTTATTAGGGAAAACTTACAAACCTTCAGTGAAAAATAAACTATTATACGTCTCTAGAGCATATGTGTCAAACTCAAGGCCCGGGGGCCAAATGTGGCCCTCCTTAACATCTTATCTGGCCCCCAAGATGCTATTTTAAATGTAAAATATTTGATTTTTTTTTCAGTAATCTTTGATTATGATGTCAAAAATGCAACAGAAAACGTCAAATGAGACCAATCAAACTCTTTTTGAGGAACCTGCAACCACGAAAAGATGTTGGGTATCTAACTTGAGTTGATGTAGATCCTGAAACTGGCCCTTAGTTTGAAAAAGGTTTTAATTTTGGCCCCATTTTGTAAGTGGGTTTGACACCCCTGCTCTGGAGAAGAAAAAAACAGATTTAGAATGAGTTAATTTATTTATTTATTGTAAATTCATTTATTTAATCTTTATTTAACCAGGCAAATTCCATTAAGATCACAGATCTCTTTTAAAAGAGAGGCCTGGGCCTGAAGGTCACCTAACATGCAGGTTTTTGGACTCAAATGTACGTTACCACACGTCAAAAGTAATAAGCGCATTTCATTAAGCTTGAATGGTAATGCATTATAATTCTGCTACATGTTTTAATAGGTAAGTTTAATGTGACTGACTTAAAATGTAGCTTCTATTTCACTTAAAACTAAGTTTGATAAAAGAGAATTTCTTGAAGGAAATTGTATCACTCGCCACCTTCCATGCCAAAATCTTAAAAAGATCTTACATAATGTGTTTATGTTCAGAGTATGTGTTGATGACTTTCAGCTACCACCACACCAAACTTTACACTCAATATAGGTAAATTATAATATATACATACACACCTTTTTTTTTTTAAAGGCCAAATTACGGTAATTTTGTTTTTGCTAAGATGGATGAGCAGTGGCAGAAATTTAAAACTGGATTCACTCCAAAAATAATCAATTGCAGATGAACATCCAATGACTAATTTGTGCGTTTCATGAAAATCAGTGGCATAAAGGTTTAGAAGTTTTTCCTAATACACTAACAAACTAATTTAGTTTCATGAAACTCCATCCATCAATCCTTTATGAGATATTTTGCTAACAAACAAAGCACATAATCACCCGCCTTTTATGGCAGTAGGCAATAAAAACAGGCCTCTTTCTGTATTGTTCAACTTTTGCAATTTAAAACAGGAAGAATTCGCCTTAGATTTAAAATGGACCAAATCATCTAGCACTGTCTGATTTGTACTGAATAATTCCACGTCATAACTCCACCACACTGTCAAGGCATGATAAAAAATAATTTGTATACCTATCTCTCCTGTGATCTGATGTGTCCTAAACTCTATAAGGCCTAGTGAGACCCATAACTATATTAAATGTCTAAAGCTAAATGTGTTAGTATTGTTCTGGGGGCCTGCAATGATTAGGCTGTCGGCTACAATGTGCTTCACTTAAAATAAGGGATGAACGGATCAGTTTTTCCATGGCTGATGCAATTTTTAAAAAACAACTTGGGCCAATAAGTTTATATTTTTATAACCTGAAACATGTTAAAACATTCCTATATAAATATAAAAAATATAGGATATAAAAATGTGTATTTTATTAGTTTTATTGAAGAGTCACATACTTCTTGTGGTGTCATTCCATGTGTCTTCCCATCACATCTGATTGTTTCACCATTATGGTCATATGAGTAGTTGTCAGGGTAACCAGAGATGAGGCTGTCACCTGGCAACAAGGTCTCTGCCCAGAGGCGACAAACGCTGTCTTTACAGCAGGTGAGCAGAACATTACAAACTGCACCGCTTTTAGGGAAAAAAGGAATAAAACAGCAAAAAGTTAAAATAGAGGTCTATTGAAAAGCTTTGAACATTTTCTGTTAATGCTGATAGTTTAGTTGATGTAAACGCTCAAGACAAAAGTCAAAAAGTAAAAGAACAACAAATATTTGGAGGGGTGGGGGAAATACTGTAAAGAATCCAGTTCTTCATATAAACCAGTGACACAAAGACACAAAAAATGAAAGTGAAAATATAAAACTGTTGCAACATTCGGTGTACAAAGTTAAAAATGTGAGTGACGTTATAATATTGCATTTGCTTGCTAATTCAATCTTTTACAGCAGCATAATAAAGGTGATGTCATCAAACTGTTTCAAAGCAAAGCATGTATCAGTAAATGATCTCAGATGGATTCCTATTTTTTTTTTAAACTCTGTTTTACGATTTGTGTTACAGTATTTCTTCATGAAAAATAAATCTGTGTTACACACTTAACAGTATTTAACTAGTTATTCTAACATAATTCAATATGTGGGTAAATGAACAGCAAAATACCCTTCATGTAATTTATGTTTAACAGCAAGTTATGTCAAAAGATTGTCACTTTTTTTTAACTTTTCATCCATTTTCTTATTGTTTTTTTATTGTACAGTTGCATAGGTTCTATTAAAACTACCAGCGAAAATAGAAATTTGATAGTGGCAGTGGAAACAATGATGTGACTGTATTCATACCGAGGCATGTATTTGCTTGTTTTCCTCCAAGAGAAACCAGTGACAGAGCGAGGATGGGCCAGGTAGACAAAGGAAAAGGCCAGTTCTCCCTGTAAACTCACACTGGTATCTGGAGGTGTGAACAGTCTGGCAATGCATGACTTCCACTTGTTAGTGTTGTACCAAACCTTCACCAGACAGTCATCCTGAAAAGCAGACATAGAAACAGAAATATAGACGATATGTTGTAAGGTTTGCTATCCTAACGTAAAACATTGACTTGTCCTTAAAACAACTACACAGATTTACAGCAGGTCTTAGTAAAAGCCTTACCTGTCCAGCAGTGGCAAAGAATTCCCCATCAGGAGAGAACTGCATGAAACTAACTGAAGATGCAGTCCTTAGGAGAGAAAACGCAAAACAGAACACAAGATGAGAAAAAAATTTCAATAAGGCTGATTCTTCAGATGAACATTTCATAATGAGGGGGAAAAAAAGTATGTTGAAACAAATTATGAAAAATGTACAAAACCCCCACAAAAACGTACGTTAGCTGGTTTTACTACAATCTTTGTTAGGAAAAATAATAAAACGATTTATCTTTCATCATTTGATGGATTTTCTATTGGCAGTTCTTACTTGCTCTGCCAGATACACCTCCAGGTAGAATGAGCGTTTTGTTTGGGTCTTTCTGTCTGCTCTCTCCTTTCTCCACCTTCATCTTTTCCATCATCAGCATTAGACCACAGCTGGAGGCTGCTGGAGCCCGTTAACAGAGTGCTGCCTGCAGACACCGACACAGACACAAGGCCTCTTTCAAAAAACAAATCCTGGCAAAACAGATGAATAAACTGAAACCACAATATTAAACACGGTGTTAAGTTATGACAGAGTTATGTGTGAAAGTACCTGTGGGGTGCCAAGCCAAGTTTCGTACCATAGACTTTAAAACAAACTGACCAGTCTTCTGCCACTGACAGTTCAGTTTCTGTAAAAACAGGATACGTTTAAAGTACAACAAACAAAATTAATCTTAGTCATGATATTCAGCAAAAGTTTTCTTTGCTGAACTTTTTTAGTAGATTACAAATGGCAAAAATTGCACAAGAGCCAACAGCTGCTTTCATGGAAACTGTGTGATGAAGTGGAACTTCTGCCAACACAGACTGTGTTCAAAACAGCAAAGTCCTGACCATTTTTCAAAGCTATTTCTCTCCACGAGCAGAGAGTTGTTCAGCTTTGACTCTGTAAACGTGTTTGCTCCCCAAAAAGCATAAACATTAACAATAAGGACAATTAATTACAATAACTGAAGCTTGAGCAAGTTGTATTTGCATCCTTCTGGTAAACTCTGATGTCGCACTCTAGGTAGGTTTGGTTGAGCAGTACATGTTTACCCGTATCAAGTATCCCTAACGCTATCAATGAGATGGATAATACGAGTACAAATTAACTAAAAAGTGACAGGAAAAAAATACTTACAGATAACGGTGTGTCCTTTTGACATGTCAGCTGAACAGGCTCAAAGATACACACTATGCTTCCATAGGAAGCTGCAATCTGTTACCAGAAAAACAAGAAACGTTAAAAATTATTAATATATTTTTTTCAGACAAAACTAAACAAAAAATGTGCATAAACCATGAAACATATACACATTCTAAATAAAATTAAATTAAATAAAAAAAAAAACATGCTAAACAAAACCTTAAGACCCGCTCACAGCATTTCAAAATATATTTAGGAAAATGTTTTGTTTATTATAAAAAAAAACATTTTGGAATTGCAAAACCTACTCTAGGACCAGATTATTTCTGAGTAGTAGATGTGTATAAAACATTTTCAACCAAACCTAAATATTTTCAGCCTGTAACATTCATGTTCTGAATGAAAAACATTCTGTCTATTGTTGCATAACTTTTGTTAATGAATGAGTTAAATGCTTAATGGCTTTCCAAGAAAGCCTCTTTAATAACATTTACCTGAGCAAATGGCTGATATTTTTATGGCAATATATAGACACTGTACTTTTGATGAGGTAAAAAATATAAAGCTGGCAGGCAGAGAGAAAGCACAGTGAAGGAGTGAATCACATGAATGTTAAGTGATTGTGCACATATGATGTTTTTACAAGAGGTCACATGCTCAACCACAGTCACATGGAAATCCTTCAAGACAGACAAACACACACAAAAAAAACATGCTCTTGGTTTAGGGTCAACCATGTGGATTTAAACTTAAAATGTTTAATCAAATTCTAACAGAAAGTCCAATGGGATGTACTTTGTGCTTGAAAGGAACTGAATATTAAGGAAACTCAAGCTGTAGTGTGAAATTAATAACACTGGTCTGTTCTGTGTGCAGCACAAAAAAAGTTTCCTTCTCTGTAATTAATATTAGATTTTTTTTTTATCGTTTTTTTATTTTAAAACATATTTATACTACCCTGCATTTGTTTATTTAAAAAGAAATGCTGATGCAAAGCATTTAAGGAAGATATGAAGAATAATTCAGAAAAATTGTTTTAAAGCAACAGATACATGTTGCATAAAAAGCATCTTTAGTTCAACAAATGCGTAACACACTGGACGTATCATGTAAATTAAAACCACAGTAAATATTACTGCAGGCAGTGTGTAACAAAGTGAAGTTGCCAAACATTCCTAAACAGAGGCTCGTGCATGCTGAAGGCCTGTGTCAGAACTTTTGACCTAAAAGAATGGGATTAAAGATCACGAGGGGGCCGAGTACTTGTTTATTCAAATCACAGCAGGCCTGTCTGCTGTTTCCATAATTACAAGATAAATCCAGACTGCTGAGGAGTCCTGCCTTCACTATTCTGATTGTATAATTTACACAGATGTTGCAATCCTGGATTTCTCCTGAGCATTTGACAGCAGGTCTATACTTCACAAACAGGAAACTCTGAGACTGTAGTAATAAGAAAAACTGACAGCTTAGTGCACTTTGTAACACTTCAAATGTATGATTAGATTTTGGTTATGCAAGGTTAAAGGTGACTTGAACTTTCAACCATACACTATGATTATCCAAGTTTCAAAGCAATTCATTAATAAAGCACAGTTTAAAAACAAAGCAATATAAACATTTTATTCAGCTGTATATTCTGTGCTGCGTGCTCTGCTACTGCTAGCTTTATTGGGAATTTGCAATAAAACCTAAACTAGCCTCAGAAAAATGTTCATGTTTTGTTCCTGTTTAAACAATAATTCAAAAAGCTAAAGCACTTTAGAGAAACAAAAAAACAACAACTTTAAATCTATATTATTGTGTATAATTTAAATACTGAAACAAGCAAGAAAAAGCCTTTATATGTAAAAATAAAATGTAAAAAATTCATCCGTTATACAAATGAAGGACTTTCCTGGCAATCAACAGTATCACAATTGTATTACGTGAATACTTCCTTGTTAACACACAGCACAAGACTGTCCATAGCAAATACTTGGTGAACCACTGACTCAGAAACAAAACAAGTACTTTATAGGAATTTAGTTGGGCAGCACGATGGCGCAACTGGTAGAGCTGCTGCCTCTCATCGAGAAGGTTGCCGGTTCAAATCCCGGTCCGGGGGCCTTTCTGGGTGGAGTTTGCATGTTCTTTCCGTGCATGCGTGGGTTTTCTCCAGGTACTCCGGTTTCCTCCCACAGACCAAAAACATGCATGTTAGGCTGATTGGTAACTCTAAATTGTCCCTAGGTGTGAGTGAGAGAGTGAATGTTTGTCTCGTTTGTCTCGGTGTCCCTGTGATGGACTGGAGACCTGTCCAGGGTGCACCCCACCCCTCGCCCAGTGATTGCTGGACATGGGCACCGGCGACCCCAGTGACCCAAAACGGAAGAAGTGGGTAATAGATAATGGATGGATGGAATTTAGTTTTTCCAACGAGGTCTTCGTTTTGTGAATTTTAGGGCATTTTATTTACTTAACGTTCAACAAAAAGATTTTAATATTCCTGCAAATAAGGATCATAAAAAAACATTCCAGTTGCACCTCTGAATTCTTACCTGTCCACCTTGTGGTGAGCAGTTCACACAGCCCACCTGGATGTTACCGTGTTTGGCCCCTGGGATGATCTGCAGCCGTTCAAAGTTACTGCCCAAAATCACCACATCACATCCGGATGCATAGGCCTATCAAAAACAACAACAAAAAAACATAGAGAGTGAGAAGGGGTGTGTTGACAGTGACACAAAGGTGCAGCCAGAGAGAATGTCACAAAGAGAGTCATTTGACCTCCACTTGTCCTGGAGCTAGTGTCAGTGCATCTGACAAGCAAGCATATGACAGCCATGGAGTAAGAACCAATAATATCTGTTCTATTCCTGTGGTTCTCAAAAAGAGATTCTCACGAGTTATGATTCACTGCGACAGAGAATCATTCACAAAGGGAAATAAGGAAGCATGATTTCTCTTTATTACCGATTGTGTATCTTTTAGTGTGCTTGACAGACAGATAAAAAAAGGAAACCTCTTGCGAGTAAATACTGTCCAATCTCACCATCTGGTCAAGTTTTCAGGATAATTAAAATCTAGCATGTTATTCTTCTGAACAAACAAAAAACAAAAATTTGCATCGAAACTTTCAAATAATCTAACGATACTCACACAAATGCAGATTTTAAAAGTAGCTTTGATGGTTTTAAGTTTCATAAATGTGACAAATAACTTTCTTACAGTTGAAGCAGTGGGGATTTTTATTTTATCCTTTTATCATTAATCAAAAACACATGCAATGAAGAGGATCTACTGCAGCTTTCTGTTCGAACAGAAAGCTGTGAACAAAAACCTATTTAGGTGCGTCAACCCTGAAGAATCAGAACAGCTTAGTTGCTCAAAGAGACATTTTTCAAGAGCTTGAAATGTCTTACCGTGAAAGGCACATTGTTGATGTTCCCAACAGAGAAGCAGTTGTCCCCTGGGTTGACAGCCCCTGTAAGGACTTGATGGAGATTCATGACTCCTGCTGATAGTCCAAGTGTGTTTCTTCCACCTCTTCTTTTGTCACAAAAAGCTCCCGCTCCAGGGGAGATTCACAAGAAACCATGGGAGGGATGAATTCATAGTTTGTGGACTGTAAATTCACGTCAACATTCCTGCAGATTAGCTGTTTAGAAAAAGAACGCAGAGATATAAACATAAAATAGGTAGCAAGAAACAAGACTGTTGACAAAAATCTATTTTAATACTAAGCAATTGCACGGAAGAAATTATTTTTGTCACTATAACATGAAAACAGGCTTTAGATTCGTTGCATAAGACTGATTAAAATGTAATGGATGAGAAAAATACCTACAGTATCTACCCATGCTGTATATTCACACCCAGCATGCAAAATTGATGGAACAAAAGCTTGCTTGAAATAAGCACAATCAGAGTAAAGGCTCTCAGAAAATGTTCCTAAATGCTCTTAAAGTTGTTCTACCGTGCATAAAAAATGAAGACGTGCAGTGAAACTGTAAGTGGATTAACTAAAAATAAGCATTTGTAAGTAAGCACATAATTTAATGTATAGAGGCATCAAAGCTATTGATTTTGTTGACCTACCTCTCTATATAAAATTAATCATATTACTATCTGTCAGCTATTAAAAAAAACTCTTTAAAAAATAAAAATACACCCAGCTTGATTACTGACAAGCAGGTCAGGAGGTTTACAAAGTTGAGTAACCCATGACTGATAGAAACAGAAGGCATAAATATAAATGAAGGCTTTGACAATATTTTTCCAAGTGCAAAAGGTGAATGTTGGATAAGCATAGCATACAGTGATAGCTAATGTTATGCGCGTGATCAATATCCAGAGAAGCAAGAATAGTCTGCGCAAACAGCTTCTGTGCATTACACTGTACTGCACAGATGTATATATATATATATATATATATATATATATATATATAGCCTAAACATTAAATGATTTTAAATAAATTTCTTCTGACTTCACCTGCATTTTCCCCCCAAATTTTTAAATTCAGTGCCTAGCTATTTTCAGATGAATGTTTTTTTTTTTAATTAGGTCCTTAAGTCTGACCTATAAATTATTCCAGTATGTAAAAGCTCCTAAACTCAAGGGTTGAATCAGTGCTATGCGTCTACATATTAAGAACTCTGCACAGAATTGATTTTAAAATACAATTTTAGATAGCCTGTCAAAAATCCACAACTTATTCAAATTTATTTAGTTTAATCTATAAAAAAATCCAACAAGATAACAAAGTTTGACAAAGAAAACAGTAATCTGTAACAGGTCTTTGCTGAATTGTTACCTGTTTCTTCAACACTTGTCTGTGAGATACTGTTTGACTGCGTTAGGTAGCTGTTTTTAGGCCTATAACTTATAAAACCCCAACTATTACTGGTTAAAATGTTAAAATGTTGCTAATAAGGCAATACGTTTAGAATGGCACTGTAAACAGCCGCAACGCTTTTTAGAATTTATAACAACAAGTATTCATTCAACCTTTAAGTATCAAAAATATGCTATTAGCAAACAATTTTAGGTTTTATTTGATTTCAGTAAATCATCTCAAGACCCCTTACTTGGTGTTTTACAACCAAACTTTGAGAAACACAGCTCTACGTGGCTATTTTTTTTAAGCTCACAGTTCACCTTTTGCTGTAGTCTGCTAAAAAGGACCATACAAAAACAAAATGAGTTAAAAAAATTAAAAAAAGTATCCAAGGAATAACATTGAAAGTATTTTAAAAAAACAAATAACATTGAAAGTATTTAAAAAATAAACTGTTAATGAAGACCAAAAAACTTTTACACAGAATTGTATATAATAACTTTTGGGCAAATAGACAATGTCAGGATTAAAGAATATAGTTTAGTGAACTTTAGCACTTTAAAATGGCAGCAAATCAAGTTTAATGCACAAAAGAGGTGCACATCTGTAAGAACAACTGAGGTAGGAGAGCCAAGCTGGTCACACCTGTCCAGAATGCACATTACTACATTCATTAGGCCCGGTTGGTCCACTTTTCTGGGTTTAGCTTACAGTCTTTGTTTACCAATCTCCTTTTCTTGGTTTTCTAAGAAACTACCTCACTGAGGAAACAACATGCGAGTAAATGCATAGTATTAATGTAAAAAGAGACACACATTAAAGACTTAATTTCAATGTCAGAACAGCCAATAAGTAAGAGTAGCAGAAGTCCAAGGAGGTTTTACTTTATTGCTGCTGGTGTTCACAAAACAAGAGTTAACTAATGTTTCCTGTGTTGAGGCAACTCACGTGATAAGGTTTCACATGCTAGCTCATGTAAACATAAAAATCGAGGCCACATAGAAGGATATCAGTTCGTCAGTAAACTTAAAAAAAAAACACAGAAAGCTTGTAAACAGCTTCCTGATGCTTTTTTTTACATCTTTATGTTTTAAATTTACCGAGTGAGAAGCTAACTTTAGCTGTAAAGTTCGACTAGTCATCTACTGTTTTTAGGACACCAGCGGAAAAATTGGATACCAACCTTGCTTGGTCTCTTCGTGTTACATCTCATCAACAATTATTCCCATTAGTTGCTGTTTTTGGTGACTAATACTCCAGTGGATGGTTTCAGTCTCCTCAGTTAGCTAACGTTAGCTAGCAGCTTGCTAAGCTCCTTTAGCGAGCTACTCAGCCTCAAAGCTAGCTTTAGATAACTTATGACAACACATTTATTAGCAGACAATTTATCTTTGCCGAGACGAGGAAATATTTTCTTCCTAAACTGCTAAGAATAAGTCACCTTCTCGCAAAGGTTAACAAATAAAACGCTCCTTGACAGGAAGCTTTTCCTTCTGCTGAAGATGTGTCACGATAACGACTGTATCGCTGCAATGCATTGTGGTCTTTGTAGTTGCGTTTAGGCCTCAGTGCGGCGTTAGAAAAGTCCATGATACTAAAACAAAAACTATTAAACTTTTTCAACAGTTTGTAGTTTTTACTGTGGCGATATTTTGTTGGCTGCACTACTTTCGTTTATCTTGTGGTTATTTTCCATCAATAATTTGCAGTTTAAATGCAAACTTGAAGAAGGAGTTTAAAAAAAAAAAGTATTTGTTTGAATATGTATCAACACTTTCTTTGGGTATATTGTGGTTTGTGCATATGCGTTAACATTTTAAAATATATTAATTTCAAACATTCTATTACACCAATAATCTGTATGCTGTAAAAGTACTTTCAAAGGCAGCAGTATTTCATTAGGACATAAATTTAAACAATTACATGAAACATGATCAAATCACAAGCAAATTTTGTGTAACTTAACCTGTGTGCCTAACCTTATTGAAACTAACTGAAAACAGTCTGAAACATCAATTTAATAGTGGGTGGGTGCATCCAATACTTTGTGAGTTTCACTGCAGAATTACAAAGCAATAGAAAAGGTTTAAATACACAAATTACTTCTGCCCTCCTTCCTCACCTGGCAGGAAGGGAGGTGAAAGGAAAAACTTGATTTACTTGTCTGCATACTTTCCAACTCTCACCTATGGTCATGAGGTTTTTGATGATGGCCAACCCCATCATCTGGGGAGCTTGGTGTAGAGCTGCTGCTCCTCTGCATTGAAATGAGCCAGTTGAGGTGGTTCGGACATCTGATTAAGATACTGTCCCTCCTGGATGCCTCCCTTTGGAGGCTTTTTGAGCATGCTCTGTGGATAAGAAACCCAGGGTAGACTCAGAACTCACGGGAGGAATTTTTTATTCTCTCTGGCCTGGGAATGCTTTGAGGTCCCCCAGGAAGAGCTAGAGTTTTTAGAAGATTTGCTGCCACATACAAGAGACAAAAATGTAGAGATGAAAACTGGCAGCAACTAACAGAGTTGGGGAAACAAGACTGAATTGGTTTACTTTTTTAATTCTTGAAAAGTGAAGTACACACTGTCACAGAACATGATGGAGATTTTTATAAAATTTTAAAAAGCTTCTGCACAAACTGTTACTAGAGCATGTTTTGACCTAACATTTCAAAAAGGCTTTTATATCAGCATCATAAAGAAATTTAGAGATTTCAGGAATCAATAACACAATTTTGGCAGTACATCAACACATAAACTGTAGCAAGTAGCTCCAATGTTTGAGTCAACCTCCACACCATGTAACTCAGAGAACTATGTACCGAAGGGAGCTTAACTTTTTGTTCACACTACGTATTTATTCACTGTATAATTGTTTTCTTTAATGCACTTTGCACAAAGGAATAAAATGCATGCAAAGTCAGTTTGCCTGACTTTAAGCTTTTAGTTGGTGATCAAAAATCCTGTTTGTTAATGGCCAAACTTTGTGATATCGTTGGGTTATTGCTTGAATTTGTACGCATCATTTGTGACCTCATTTTATGACTTGTGTTTTACTGAGAAAAGAGTTGGAAATGAGTGAAATCAGATGTGACATTTCAAGTTCCAGCATTTGTTGCAAGCAACCACAAAGTGTCAGTGTTGTTCAATCTATTGAAATTCAGCTTTACTTTTAACACTCACTGAAAACAGTTTAGGTTCCATATTAACTAAATTTAATATATGTTTCTTTTTATTTCAAAACATGTAATAATAATAATAACTTGATTTAAAAAAAAATGAAGAAAACAAACAGAATGGTTGTTCAGTTCCCTGAAAAACTGCTCTAATTTAACAGTGGCAGAATAAAATAATAAATTGTATGCTCTTTTATTGGGGTGGCTGTGGCTGAGTGGTTAGAGCAGTGGTCCTTCACTGCAACAGCTGGGAGTTTGATTCCACCAGCAGTCACATGCCCAAGTGTCCCTGGGTAAGACACTGAACCCCTCATTGCCTCTGACGTGTGTCCCATCGGTGTAAGAATGTGATAAAGCACTGATTATTCTTTGTACAGAAATAATAGAGTGCTGTATGAATGGGTAAATGAGGACACAGATTGTAGTGTAAAGCACTTTGAGTATCTTGATAAGATCAAAAAGTGCTATATAAGTGCAGTCCATTTGTCTAACAGCTC